TTGTGTATTAAGGTGTTATTCTAGTATGAACTCTATGATAGATTGAATGGAAAGAATAGCTTCATGTTATTTTACTACGGACTCTTGAATAGATAGATCAAAAAGGATAACTTTGAGGTGGTTGCGTACCCTACCATAATCTCTTTGTTTGTTCTCCGCTATTAGTTGCTTTGGAGTGACTCTTTGTTGCATGTTGAGGGATAGTTATATGATCCAGTTATGTTATTATTGTTGATAGAACTTGCACTAGTGAAAGTATGAACCTTAGGCCTTGTTTCCTAGCATTGCAATACCGTTTACGCTCACTTTTACCACTTGTTACCTTGTTGTTTGTTATAATTTCAGATTACAAATACTCATATCTACCATCCATATTGCACTTGTATCACCATCTCTTCGCCGAACTAGTGCGCCTATATAATTTACCATTGTATTGGGTGTGTTGGGGACACAGGAGACTCTTTGTTATTTGGTTGCAGGGTTGCTTGAGAGAGACCATCTTCATCCTACGCCTCCCACGGATTGATAAACCTTAGGTCAGCCACTTGAGGGAAATTTGCTACTATCCTACAAACCTCTTCACTTGGAGGCCCAACAACGTCTACAAGAAGAAGGTTGTGTAGTAGACATCAAGCATCTAGGGGAAAAATATCAATATTCATAGCTCATTAAAGATTTTGACCTGGACATTGATACAAGAAGTTACTTGTATTGATAGGCCACAAAATCATTCAAGGTTTAGCAAAGAATTTTGTTGCTTTTAAAAGACCAAGGGACTAAATTAAGAGACCAAACACCCATTACAAACTCGAGTAAATGAAATCACCCAAGTTATCAATTGTAGAAAACTGAGAATCAATTGCCAAGAACATGGTAACTAGTTACCTATACAAGTCAAGTTCACAAGACCTTGATACAGTACAACAAATAGTTGCAACAATAATGCCATCACTAAATTAGAAAGGTTGGTGCTATACTTCTTTAGCTACGATCCTATAAAAACTATTAAGATGGTATAGAAATTTGTGTGACTAACAACCTAACATACAACAAATTCAAAGTCCAAGCATTCAATCCGATCAAGAAGACACCATGTGTTTGCTTACTTAAAAAACAAAAGAATCAAGAACTCTAATGAAATATTTCGTAGACAATTACAACTCAGAAAGCAGAGAAACATGTCCTAAATATAGTCGACAACTTCCATCACTCGTAGAAGGACTAAAATAAGTGACCAAACACCCATTACAGACTTGGACATGCCGTGTAAATTAACGAACTACCCAATTGCTCGGGAATGAGCCGCAACAATGACTCGTCCGTATTAACAAACAAAGAATTGATCGCAAAACACAACTTATGTTTTGGAGTACGAATTGTAACAATGGCACATCAGTACTAACAAACAGAGAATCACAACCTATGTTTTGGAGTACAAATACACATCGATGGTTCATAACAGGGACACCATGGATAGGCCCACGGTAAGCTGCAAACAACACTGTAGATCGATGGATAGGAGAAAGATACCAGGGAAGATTGTGCATGCTATTACCACATTTGTAATTTTTAGTCTGCATAAAAATGTTGTCCAATGCCAAAGTATATCTACTTTGACCAAACTTATAGAGAAAACTATCAACATTTCCAATGTCAAATCAACATTGTTAGATTCATTACGAAACGTAGTTTCATAGTATATATATTTGTATTGTTGATGTTGATATGTTTTAATATATATTTGGTTAAACATTGCAAAGTTTGACTTGGCGCAAATCTAATACAACGAGTAAAAATGACAGGAAGGAGTACTTTTTATTTAAAATAATTGAGCATTTGTGCTCTGTGGGGGGGGGGGGGTATATCAATATTCATAGCTTATTAAAGATTTTGACCACAATATTGATACAAGAAGTTACTTGTATTGGTAGACTATGTAATCATGAAAGGATCAATAGATTTTTTTTGTTATTAATAGGCTGAACACCCATTGCATACTTGAGTAAAGGAATAACCTGAGTTCCACTATCAGCAATAATGACATGTCCATAGTGGAAAACAGAGAATCGATTGCCAATATCATGGTAACTAGTAAGCTATGCAAGTTAAGTTTTAAAAACCAAGATTATTTAGTAGTACAACAAGTAGATGCAGCAATAATGCCATCATTAAATAAACAAGCTGGTGCTATGATTGTTAGTGACGATCCCCATAAAAACTATTACTAGGCTGGTCCAATGTCCGAGCACTCAATATTGTCAAGAAAACAACATGTGTTAGACAATCTCATGAAGCCCCACTCACCCCCCCCCCCTGCGTCGTGTGCTTGGGACGACTCAGGGGCGATACCCTAGCCGCCACTTCAGCCCCACCTCCACCTCACCCCCTAGCAGCGGGGTATCCCCTTGTACCCTGCTGCGTGATCGTGAATCTCCGGCACACCCAGGTCGCCGCTCGGTCTTCCCCGTCCCCTGATCTATGGTGGAGCTTCTTGGCAGTGACCTGCTCCTGTTGCCCTCAACATGCGCCGGCTCTGGCCGGTGGTTCAGTCCCCTCCCCTCACCCCCGATAGCAGTTGCGTTTTCCCTTTAGACTTGGCAATGTGAACTTCCTTGGAGGCTGCTGGTGGGGTGTTTTAGCTGGCAGGGGTCAAGCAAGGGCGGTCCCCTTGGGTGTGGCGCTGTCGTCGGTGTGCCACCAGTTTGGCACTGTGGCGGGTGGCGGCTGGTGTTCCATGCGCTCCCTGTTCTTAGTGGTGGTTGGGTTTGCTATGGGGTTTTTTCTGGTGTTGTCGTTTAGGGATCCTTCGTCTGTTGCATTTGGGATGTTCATGGTGGGTGGATGTCGTGGCCGCGGCCTCGGCAAGCGGACGTTGTCGTCTCTGCGGCGAGCTCTCGCCGTGGGTGCTAGTTTGTGACTTTGGTCGTGCAGACCGCGAGGCTGCGGTGGACGTGTACTGCAGTGGCGGGGTGGCTTGTCGCCATGCGTTCCTCCTTCTAACAAAGACCCCCTGTCCCACTCTAATGGATTCTGCCTCTTTGTTTAGTTTCGTGGCCATGTGGTCAGGGTGCGGAGCAGGACCGAGGGAAACCCTGGGTCATCGACGATGACCACGACAATGACAGCGCCATTGTATGGCTTCAGTTTCCTTCTTGGAGGCATTGTCAAGTTCCCTTCCCACTCGCTGCCTTGCTCTCCTATGGCGAATGCTCTTGCTCCCCTTGCGGACGGCGGCGGCATGCTGTCGCCACATCCCTTCCCAGAGGTGTCGTCCATATGGTGCGTCGAATCAAGGTTGGCACTTGCTACTTTTTTTGAGAGTGAATGGTGGTGGCTTCATGTGCATCTTCTTCTGTCGGTCTTCATCTTGTGGTACCGTTCTTCAGCTTGTGTTTGGATGTGTGGTTGGTTGTGGTTGTTGGTGAGGTCGCGGGAACCCTGCGATTGTAGTTTGACCCCTGGTCCCTCGTGTCCTGGGTGCTCTATTGGTTTTGTCGATGCGGCTCCTGGTGAGCTATCTACCATCCGATGGGACGCCCCCTTCGAGCCAGGGTGAGAGGATTGTGGTCCTCTTCGGAGGTTGAATCGGATGGTTTGCTGGCGGGTTTTACATGAGTAGGGGATGTGGAGATGGCCACCGATGCTGGTGTTGCTTGTTGATCTCACCCCAAAGCTGGTTAAAGCTAGGCTCCTTTTTCTACTTTTCGGTTGCCTGTATTGTTGTTAGGCTGCGAGATGTTCTAACACTTTGTATCTTTGTTGTTTTCTTGCTTTAATTTTGCAAATTGTTAGATTGTCATCCCGGCCGGTTGATGACTTTATTAATTCAAAGTCGGGCTTAGGTTGAGCCTTCTCTCGGGCTCGGCCGTCGCCTTTTTTCTAAAAAAAAAATAGGGTCGCGCTAACTGCCACACGTGTGGCAGGAAGGGAGACGCACCACACATCTCTAATGTAAACAGATTGCCACGTCATCGCATGCATGCATGCAGAAATCTTTTTGAATTTTCAGTTTTTAAAATGTTTTATCTCTTAAACGAAAAATCCTATTGAAAATCCGTTTTCACCATTAAATCCCTCGCGATGAGATCTTCGAAACTAGATCCCATGTTGATATGTTTTAATGAAAAAAAAATGGATTAAAAGTTGCCATGTCTATTGCATATGAATTGCCATGATGTTTACACTGAAGTTGTCATGATATGTTTCAGCTATTTTCTTCTATATTTAAAAGTAAATTTTGATATTTATAAAACGGGAAATTAAGAAACTAGACTTGCCATGAACCATAAACTAAAATTGCCATGATACATGCACGTAAAATTGCCATGGTTCATACAAAAAATAATTTTCATGGTCAAAGTACTGGAGTTGCCATCATCAAAATACTAAAATTGCCATGATCTACAAACTAAAATTGCCACATGGCAACTTTAGTTTAAGCCCTATGGCAACTGCAGTGTAAACATCGTGGCAACTTCTGGCAAAAAAAATTCGTCGAAACATATCAACATGGAGTCTAGTTTTGAAGATCTCGTCGAGACGGATTTAATGGTGAAAACGGATTTTTAGTTCGCTTTTTTATTTAGGAGATACAACATTTTTAAGCCGAAAACCAAAAAAAATTCTGCTGATGTCATCTATTCATACGTGGCAAAATGAGTGGTGATGGAGGCGTGTGGGCGATGTGCAAACGCCCACACGTGTGGGCGTTAACATTTCCGAAAAAATAATATGTATTTGTTTACTTAAGGAAAGAAAAGAATAAGGAATTCGACAAAAATAATCTGCAAACAATTATAACTCAGAAAACAGATAAACATGGCCTGATGCAGACTCAACTACATAAACTTGACAACGTGTGTATCACTCCTAGAAATTAGGGGACCAAAACACCCACTGCAGATCGACTTTACATGCCAACATAGAACTGATCACCAAACACGACCTAGTTTTGAGTACTGTATACCTGATCTCAGTTGGATTCAAGTATGCAGTTTCCTTCACAGAGCGACCAGGCGCCTCGCCTGCTCCTCGTAGTCATACGGAATATCGTACTCGCTGTAGTCCGCGTATGTGAGAGTGGGGTCTCGCTTCTTCTCCAACTCTTCCCACCTCGCCCTCTCCTTCTCCGCGATCTCGGCCTGGCGCTCGAAGTAGTCGTCGTCCACCTCCACGTAGCCCTTCTCAAACAGCTCGTCGCGGATCTCTACCTGGTACTTGAGGAACTTGGCATGGAGCCTCTGGACAAGGAGGTCGGCTTCCCTGTACGTCTCCTCGAGCCACTCCTCCGTCACTCCCAGGGCCTCCGCCATGTCCTTGTTGCCCTTGAGGAAGGAGGGCATGACTATGTCGTCGGGCTTGTCTATCGGCATGCCCAGGATGTGACTGACGAGCTCGGGGGGCATGCGATTCTTCTTGCCGGTTGCGCCGGCAGGCGGGTCGGACTCGGCGGCGCGCTCGACGTCCGTCTGGATCTTCGCGTCGATCATCAGCGACGTTGTCTTCTCCCCGCCCAACGATTCCTCCACCGCTGCATGCTGCTGAGGAGCGCCAACCTCCTCGCCGGAACCCTCCATGTCGGCCATTGTTCCTCGACTCCTGTGGATCGATCTGCGCGTGTTTTCGATTTGATCGATTGGATAGGGGAGGATCGATCTCGCGTGATTATATAGAGGAACGTAACAAAACCCGTAGACTTTTTTTTAGAACAACGAAATCCCCAGACGTACTCGGTCCCAACTCCAGTCACCAACCGGACCGGACACGGCCCCAACT